CTGCTGCAGGACTCACAGAGCTGTCACAGCTCACTGTGGTGGGCTCCTGCTTCTCCATCCCCCATGGCCAACTACAGAGACCAGGAAGTATAAATAATTTGAAATAAATACGCAGGGAATATCAGCGCTCTGGCAATGAAACAATGCTGAGGCAATGAAAACTGAAGAATTTTATCTGTCTCCAATCCAAAAGAACTCCAACGTGATCTTGACAGAGAAGCCTAAATAAAAACTTCAAGGGAAAAAAGATATTCCACTTTAAAGCAAAGCTACCTAATCATATGTTTTCATGGAAATGTTTTGCCATAAGACAGTTCCTGGGGAGAAGCTTCATCTACAAGAGCAAACTCAAAACCACAGCATAGGACATGAGCTCTGCAGCATTGGGAACTGGCTCAAATACTCTGAGATCCCACTGGCCCCTTGCTACACAATTAGAGGCACCCACCAAGGTTCCCATTACTGCCTCAGTTAGCCACTTGACAAACCACCTTCTGCATCATCCAGCCTGCTGGAAACAAATATGACTTGTACAGCCATTTATTCCACGGAAACACATAGGCTGCTGCCCAGCTCAGGCAGCTGCATGGCGTGCCCAGCCTGCGCCTCAGTGGCCAGCGAGCCAGGCAGGATGGGGCACACGGGCAGGGAGCCCTCGGACACCTCAGCCACCCTCACACCAACCTGTGCCCACGGGGCAGGACATGGCTCCTGGCACCACAGCATATCACCACAGCATGTCACCACAGCATGTCACCACACTACGGACCTCTGGCTCGTGGCGGCCAGAGCCCCAGCCAAGGGACCTGGGGTGGCCCAGGGGATCAGCACCTGTCTTGGCTCGAGGGACTCGGCCAGGGCCTCTTCCAAGAGCCCTGTCTTCTCCTCTCCTCATCTCACCTGCTCCCCTGGGAATACCAACCCTCCTCTGCAGCCTCTTAGTTCTCCAAGAATGACTGCAAGAGCTGCCACAGAAAACAAAACAATGGCCATCACTATTCCATGTCGGGCTGCAGGCACTCAGCCAGCCATCACTGTCACCACCACCCAGCCAGCAAGCCCATGGGCTATTTGGGAATATAGCCAAGGTCTCCAGCCCTCCTCGGGAGCCCCATGAAGAGCAACACCAGCTCCAGAGAACTGACAGAGACCCAGACCCACCCCTACCACAGGGTTCTGTGCAAACACCCTCGACAGCCTGGATCTGGGCACTGCAGAGGAATTCCATAACCTACGTTACTTCAAGATTTGTCATTTTGTTTTCAGAATGACATCTCAAACTCCAGAGTACCAGAAGGTATATCTGACTAATTTGAAGCAAATGTTTCTATTTTTCTGCAAAATGCATGAATATTTGATAGAAACTTTGTAGAAAGAATGGTTCACTCTTCAGCAACAAAACCTTATACTTTGGAGAAGGTTTGGATTGGGTTTCCCAGGCTTGAGCATGCCTCCAGTGCTGCTTTTGTTTGACCACATTTCCCCCTGCTACCCAGCCACACAGACAACAAGCTTTTATTTCCAAAGCATTTTAGACATTTTAGGTCAAGAATCGTTTTTGTTTAAAACAAAGACACACACATAAGCCTCTCCTGGCACAAACTTCATCAGATAGTGTCAGCAAGCATGGTTTAATAGCATGATATTGAAAAGTAATTTTACTACTAGCTAGAAAAGTCTGAAGACTGCAGAGGATATATTTAGATGTGTATAAATAGACAACACTCAGTGATGTCTGGTCCAAAGAGTACAAATCTTCCCTAATGCATGGAATATGCCTGGCCCAAAACGCTTGAGCAGCACTTACACAGCCTTTTCAGTCTGGCTCAGGTTCTGAGCCCGCTAATAGCGAGGCCATTAGAGCGCGCTCAGGCCCAGCTGCTTGTGCAGGGAATATGCAAGGATTGCTCTATAAAACCCAGCCCGTCACCACATCTGAAAGCACAGGCAGTATCGATCAGCAATGGAAAGCCATTAGCTCTCCAGCCTCTGAACTATCTCCACGTGCCCCAGCCCAGGGACAAGCCCTCCAGGCACCTCGGGATGCTCCACCTACCCAAGGCAAGCACCCTGCGTGTCAAGGCCATCCTTGCTGATGCACCCACCTTCGCATCCCCTCTAATCTTCCTCAAAAAACTGGGGAAGATCTGTTTTTTTCTTGCCATGTTGCTCAGATGCATCTCTTTTTGGGCTCCCCAAGAACATTCCCAGCCAGACCCAATCCTGGGCTGGGCAGCCACCTCTCAGCCTCCTCCTCCTGGCCACACTCACACCTTCGATGGGCAACAGGAGCCTCTCCAGACAACAGACCTGCATGAAAAATTGAAACCAAGCCCCTGAGGCACCATCCTGAGCAGTGCAGCAGTCCAGCACAGCTTCTCCTGGCTGTAAGGATGACAGGAGCTCTCAGCCCACTGGCTCTCACTGGGATAGGATAATCTGGAGGCCACTTCTGCAGCTGCATGTGCTTGGTGGAACAGGACAATGTGGAGCCCACTTCCACATGTGCATGTGTTTGGTGGAATGGGTCAATCTCAAGTCCCCTCTTGCAGCTGGAAGTGTTTGGTGAACAGGCGAACTAGTTCAGCTTTAACTTGCACTGGATACCTGGCATATCCAGGATTTGCTTCACTGACGGCTCTGCCATGATAAAACCAGGAACTGCTCTTTCTGAAAGCAGAAAGATGAGGTAATATGCCAGGAGATGTATCTTAGAGAGGCTTGTAACTGGAGGCCAAACCGGCAAGCTCTGGTGTGCATTATGATCCAGTCTTACGCATTTAAACACATTTATTATGCATTTAAACAAATGCATAATCCCTTGAGCACAGTATATATTTAGCAGTGTGGATTGGGAAGGTGTTGGGCGCCGAGAACACTCAGTCTCTGGTACAGCTGCTTGTGTAAAACCAAACCTGACTCCCTGACCAGCAGTGGAATTGCCAGGCCTGGCACACCTCTACTTGCCAGGACCGACTCTGGCAATACCACAGAGTCCACAGGCCAGCTCTGAGGAGTGGCCTGTACACAGGACCAGGGTGCCCACTTAGAGTCCTTGTGGCAGCACACACAGCCCTGAGCACCCAGCCCCAGGCAGCTGGGATGCAGTCCTGCCACACCAGGCCACACCAGAGCCAGCACACACAGTCCCTCTGGGCAGCACTGCCCCATGCCCCTGGACACAGCCATGGCCAGCATCGCTGCTGCCAGGGCCAGCCCACACACCTCCACCTGCAGAGGCACAGCTGGAAGCAAACAGGCCTCAATTCCAGCATGGATCCATCTTGCCTCGCCAGTGTGCTGGCTGGCCGGCTGTGCTGGCCTGAGCCGCCCTGGACACGCAGCACTCGCCCGAGGATGCTCAGAAGGAACAAGCTGACACCACGTGTCACACAGGAACATGCGAAATGGAAGTGTGGGTGGGGAGGATCAGCAGCACGACAGCGCAATGGCCAAGGGCAGGCACTCCCAGCCCGTCCAGTTCCACGGCACTCAGCCAAAGACCACGGGGCTGGGCTTGGCTGGGGGCACCTGCTGTCCCACCCCTGGTCTCCAGGACTGCTGAGTTCACGACCACAACTGGAACCAACACACCTCTCTGTTCCATACGCACAACACAACGAGTACCCCGGAGATGCAACAGACTGGAAGGGAGGAGGCGAAAGTGCAGGACGGGAAGAACTGCTGTCCCAGGATGCAGAGGAACCGCAGAGCCGCTGTTCCGCAGTTTACGCTGGGAAGGACCAGCCCGGGAAGAGGCTTCCCCAGGGCACCTGGCCCAGACATGCCGTTCCCGCAGCCCGGAGCCGCGAGGGCTGATGCTCCGACACCAACATGGCTGCGAGGCTCCGCCGGCTCCTCCGCCGCTGCTCTGCCACCTCCCTACCGGGAACCTTCCGGCGGGGAAGGGCCGTTCTGTCCTACATTCCTTCTCCCGCACACAGCGGTGTTCGCCACGGAGGGGGCGGAGGAGAGGGGGGCGCAGCCGCATCCCGGGACGCAGGGGACAGCGGCGGCCCCAGGGACAGAGCCGCGGGGAGAGCGGGGCGTGCGGCGGCTAGGGGCGGCGGGACGGGGCGGCAGAACCGGGGCGGGGGGAGCCGCGGGGCTCCTGCGACCTCCGGCAGAGCCCCGCACCCCCTGAGCACCCCCGAGCCACCCGCGACAGCGCCCCGGGGTGGCTCTGCGAACAGCGGCGCCTCCGCCCGCCCGGGCAGCGCCGCAGCGCCAGCGGTGCCGGGTAACCGGGCGGCGGCGGCATCGGCGGCATCGCGGCGCGGAGGGGGCGGCGGCCGCGGTACGGGCGGCCCCGCAGCATCGCAGCCTGGCAGCATCTCCGGCCCCGCAGCATCCCCAGCCCAGCCCAGCCCAACGCGGGCGGCCGCCGGCGCCGTCCCGCGGGCAGCGGCGGCAGCGCGGCCGGGCCCGGCCCGGCCCGGCCCGTCCGCGGGGCACCCGCCCCGCCGCCCCGCGCTGCCTGCGGCCGCCGCCCTCCTGGGTAGGGCGTCGTCCCGGCGGCCCCGCCGCGCCGTGGGGTCGTCCTGACCGGGACGTTCGGGACCGGCCGGGCCGTCCCTCAACCCCCCCGCCCCGTCCCCTGGGCCGGTACCGCGGTGCAATGCAGATGTGCCGGGCGCCGACTCTCCTAGCGTTACCTGCTGCCTCCGGGGACGGGCGGCGGCCGGAGCGCGTCCCCTGCGGGTGCGGCCGCGGCCGGGCCCCGGCGGGCTGCGGGCGCTGGCGGCAGGCGGGCTGCCCGCCGCTCCGCCCCGAGCCGGCGCTCACCCCCCGCATCCTACAGCCGGTCCGCGGCGGAGCTGCCCGCGGCCGGGACGGGCAGGGCGGCCCGGGGACGGCCCCACGCGGCGGCTCGGGCGGGCGGCGGCACACGCACACACGCGCGGCGGGGGCGGGAGGCGCGGGACAACCCGCCTGCATCAGCCCGCCCGCATCGCCCCGCACCGGGCAGCCCGCCCCGTTCCGCTCCCGCCGGCGCTGACCTTGTCGTGTACCTGCGCCAGGTTAATCCTCGCCAAGCGCCGCCGCTCCGCACCCCGCTGCGGGATCCTGCGCGCCGGGCGCTGCGCTGGACGGACGGACGGATGGACAGGCGGACGTGGCCGAGGCGCGGGCAGCCCCGCCGCCGGGCCGGCGCCTCCCGGGTGCGGGTTCCGCTAGCGCGGGGCGGCCGGCGGCAGGGCCATGCGGCTCCGCGCCGCTCCGCGCCGGGCGCGCTCAGGCGGAGCAGCCGCGGCGGCGGGCGCTGCGGCGGGGCAGAGCGGGGAGCGCGGCGCCCGCGGCTCGGCCCTCCGCGGCGGCGGCAGCTGCGCCCATCCTCCGCGCCGCCGGCCTCCGCCCGGCCCCGGCCCCGGCCCCGGCCGCGGGCAGCCGCGCCGCTCGCTGCCGCATGGAGCAGCCGCCGCCTCCCCCGCGCCGCGCCGCGCCGCGCCGGGGCGGGCTGGAGCAGCCGGGCCCTCCCCGCCCCGCCGCACGCACGGCTGAGCCGCAGCCGCCCGACCGCCGCCGCGCAGACGTGCGGCCGGGCCGCCCCCCGCCGCGCCGGGCTCGGGGCTGCGCGCCGCCGGGTGGCACCGGGCACGGGCACCGGCGCCGATACGGACACGCCTCCGCCTGCCCCGCCACGCCGGGGCCAGGCTGCGGCGACGGGCGCCGAGAGCGGCCGCGGCCCTCGGGGCACCCCACAGCCTTCCCGGGGCCGCAGCCCTCCCCCAGCCGCCGCCCGAGGCCCCGGGGCCGGAGCGGGCGGGGGCGGCGCGGCTGGGGGCGGTGCGCGGGACTTTGACCTGAGGATCGATCCGGTAGATGCACCGGCGGAACCGTCCCGCGGCGCGGGGTGGGAGCGCGGCGGCAGCTCCGCTCCGCGCCGCCCGGCATGGCGAGGGCTCCTGTCCACCCTCGGGGCACGCAGCTGCCCGCATCCTGCCCGCGCCCCGCCGCTCCGAGGACAGGGACTGCAACACCGGACTTCTAGGAGGGATGATCCTGGCAGGAGAAGGAAAGGTTGGGTCATCTGTGGGGGAAGTAAATTGGAGCGCTTTTGGGGATTGCGGCATCGTTACCTGTCTCCTGGATCTCTAACAGAGAGAAGAGTGCATTTCGTGCTATGGAACACTGACACGCTTTTCTAGTGCTCTTTTGTGGGAAAACGCCGGGGATGTTGCAGGACTCGAAAAAGAGCAGCACTGCCGGGAGAGCCTGGAAGAGGAGCTAATTAACGAACCTCGTCAGCGGCCAGTGACCCCGCACCTGGAGGGATGTGCGGGCACGTGCCCTGCCACAGCTGGGCAATTTCCCCGTGTCCCCCGACACCCTCCTCCTGCACGGGAGGCAGCTGTGGGCTCCTCCGGGACTGGCCCGCGACTCTACAGCCGGACCAGCCCCCGCGGCCACTGCTGCTGAGGGTGCAGGAGAAAACCCATGGACTGCTCGGCACGCTTGGAGCAGCGGGAGCAATGCTGCCGGGATGCATCTTCTGGCTGGGGATGCACGTGGTAGGAACCCCGTTCCAGAACGGGAAGGTGCAGTGGCCGTCCTCATGCCTCTCTGCTGATACCATGCCAAAGCGTTCCTTGGGATGGAGCGTCTGGCACCGGTAAGGGTGAGACGAGGGAACACATCAGTATTCCTGGGCTCAGGGCTGTCCGTGTGACCTGAGAACTTTGAAGTGGTCTCCACAGCAGCCTGTGACCGTGGTCTCACAAGGAGCCCAGCTGCCTGAGCCGCATCATCCTCTGTCCTTCTGACAGCCTCTGAAGCTGTCCAGGGCTGGGCTGCAGGCAGAGCCTCGGTTAGTGCTTATCTCCAAGTACCAGCTGCTGTTTTACAGAGCTAGTTCGAGCTGTTACAGGGGAGAGAGGCTGGCAGGAGCACATGAGTCTAAATCTTCTCTCCCTCAAAGGAAGTCATGTCAGCTGGCTTTGCTGGGGTGGTCTCTGCCCCACACAGTCCTAGCACTGGTCGCCTTTGAAGCTGGAGGCAGTGTCATGCTCAGCCCTGATTTGGCGTTCATAGTGTGCTCCCCTGTGGAGAGAGAAGAGAGACAGTAAGATGCTCTCTGGTAAAACATCCCTGGTTTTGGCTGGCATCCGCCGGTGTCTTGGGCTTCAGGTTCAAGCATTTGCTGCTGTCAGTTCCCTGCTGCCCCAGAAGCAGGGGGGCTGGCATGCCAGTGATGCCAGCAGCGTGGCTGGCATTGGAAGAGGAGGCGAAAATCGGGATACAGCTTCCCTGGCCATAGGAAGATGGAGAAGCTCGGTGGAAACTCAGTGGAAGCATGTGCCCAGAGCCTGGTATGTCCTGGGGGTGCACTGGTTTGCACCATCCAGCACAAACACACTGTGAGGGCTGGTTCAGGACCACTCTGAACTGGTACCAGTACAGGGCAACCACAGCTAAAGCAATGTCCTGTGCTCTCTGGCCTCAGGTGTTCGAGCAAGGGCTGCTGCATTTTCTTTAGCAGCCTGAAATCCCTCCTGGACATGAGATTGAGATGATACCACTGCCTAGTTAATGTACCCAGTGTGAAAACTGCACCTCCCTGGGGCACCCAGGAGTGTGGGAGCTGGGGGTGTGCTGGGGAGCTTTTCTCGCTCCTGGCTGGGATGGAAAGCCTGCTTTTCTGATCCTGGACCCAGACCTAAGTGTGTGGCTGCTGTGCCATGCCTGAAACTGTTCCTCTTCCTCTTGTTCACCCCTGCGCTGGGGCCTCTCCTGGAGTGTTCCTGGCTGCCCCCAGTGACTCTGTGGGTGTCTATGCCTGAACGCTCCCTTCAATGCCCAGGGACAGGCTGTTTTGGGACAAACCTCAGTGCCTTGGGGGACAGGTCTATGTCCTGGCATTGTTATTCCCAGTGCCTGGCAGTGTACCTCATGGACAGCACTGTCCTGCGTGGCCCTGGCACTGGGGATGCTCAGGATTACTCAGGTGAGCTCCCACCTAGCTCTGCCCAGGATTCACCTTGCCTTGGGAACCCTCACCCTGCTGGGGCTCAGTCGCCTCCCCTATTATCCTTCTGAACAAGCCCTTGCTGGGGGTTTTGTCTTGCTCTCTCCAACTAGTGTTAAAATGCTTTTTTACTGGCAGAGCTGGTAACTCCTTAACATGAAATATTTTTCCCCTCACAGGTATAATTTAAAAATTATTTCATCTTTTTTTTTTTTTTCTGAAATAATGATACCTGGAGGAAAGTGCTTTGTTTAAGTAACACCGAGAGCTCTTTTATGCCCTCTCTAAGCCTTAGTCACCTCTGGAAGGAGGGACCTGGGGCCTGGGCACAGTGTCACCGTGCTGCAGCTGCTGGTGGCAGGGTGCCGTGCTCACCCAGCCTGCTGCCCACAACACCCGGTGCCACAGGGGCTGCCCGTCCCTCATCCCTTCACGGTGTGTGCAGCTCCTGCACAGCCCCACGCCCCGAGCAATGCTGTGAGCTGTGCCGGGAGCCAGCAGCATCCTTGGGAGCTGCTACCGCGCCGCTGGGGCAAAGGGGGATGGCATGCCCGTGTCTGTGGTGGCAGCAGCTGTGGCAGGACTGGAGCAGGAGCTGCTCGGGGATAAGGTCACCCTGCACTGAGCACAGCTCTCCGCCGGCACAGGCACCCTTCCCTTCCCCTCCCTTCCCCTCCCTGGCAGCGCCGAGCGCTGGTGCCCCGTGCTGCGTTTCACCCCAAGGAGGGCAGCAGCAGGGCAGGGAGCCGGGCTCTGGCGCTTCAGCCCGGGGAAAGCACGGCAGCAGGCACTCCTGGTACTCCTTCAGAGCCTGTGGTACCGCATCGAAAAGGGTGTGGAATGGGCAATGCTGCTTCGTCCTTACAAGGAGAAACTTCACTGCCTGAATCACTGCAATGTCCAATGTCACGATGCGTGAAGCAGATTTCTCTTCCCTGGAGAACCTTGGAGACAAGAATGCCTTGGAGACAAGAATGCCTCAGGCAGCAGTGCACTGCCAGCCTCTTCTTCCAGAAAAACCAGGGAAGCTTGTGGAGTTACCCCAGCCGTCATTTCCTGGGGATGTTTTTCCATTTTATGTTCTTTAGTCTGTAAGATGGGGGAGCTGTTGCATTGTACAAAAAATGGCAGGGAACGATCCTGCTCCTTCGGGAGCCCTCCGTCTCCTTGTTGCCAGGCCAGAGGTGAGAACGCTCCCCAGCTGTCCTGGTGGCCCAGCTCCCACCATCACTGGCCCGGGAGGGTCAGGGCAGGCAGTGCTAAACCTGGCCAGGGCAGACACCCTCCTCAGCACTGCTTTTGGTTTTATTCAAGGGGAGTTGGTGTGACGTTTTCCTTGGGGTGCCTTGGTGGGTGCTGAAGCCCCAGCATGTACTGGTGCCCTGGCCTTCATGTGCCAGCCCCACACCGACAGGGAATCAGACCTCACACCCGAAACCAGCACGGGGGTGGGGGCTGGTGACAGGCTTATCCTCAAGTGCTTCATCTGGTGGAACCAAACCAAGATACTTAATAGCTAATAATACTTAATTGCATTTTTAATCAAAAAACAGATTCAGAGTCATGAGTAAAGTAATTGTAGTGTCTGTTTGCTTAATCTTTTAACAGATTTGTTCTTTGAGAAATAAAATAACGTTATTTGTTTTATTTTTTTAATTTCTTGCATGATTATTTGAAGGCTTCTAGCTGTTGGTACCTGGCTTGTTTAAAAGGTGCTATAACTGTCAGACACAAACTGGTGGATGAGCATTGAGTGTCCTGCGGGGATGGCACACCTGCACAGTCCAGCACTGTACGAGCACAGCTTTGTCTGGGAGGGTCAGAGGCACAGCTGGGGAAAGTTTGCTGTGCTGGCAAGGAGCCTTGTCCGCCTCAGCCCACAGCTCAGGGGCAGGCTCTGCCTGTCCTGGAGCCAGCACATGAGCTCAGGGCTCCCTTCAGCCAGCCCTGTGCCCCACACAATGGGTTTTTCTCACCCCATGGTGGCCTGGCAGGGACACGAGCTCACCCAGAGCATGCCTTGTTTAATTTGGAAATAGGGGTGGGAGGAAATATTGTGGGAAGAAGCAGATATATTGCAGGGCTGTGAATAAAAATAGAGACTAAACCCAGCCATAATGTAGAAAAGTAGCCTGTCCCAAATAAACCTGTTACCTGCAAAAAGCCATTTCCTTCTGACAGGTGTCA